CGAGCTCCACCAGGAGATCTGAATGTCGTCGATGCAGATCTACTAGCTCGCGAGTGATCTGCACCACCCGAGAATTCGAATAGGTCCACGGGGGCAGGCCAAACTTCATGGCCGTCATGAGGGCGGTGGCCTGCGCCCAGCGAATGTACAGCTCCTCGGGCGGTGGCTCGAGGACGCCAGAGTAGCCGCCGCCGATGATCGAGGGGACGATAAAGGAGTATCCGGCGAGGGAGAGGGAGAGGACGGCGGGAATCAGAGAGCGAAGACCGTTTGCATAGGACCAGTCGCCTGCCTTGGCGTTTAGCGCCACAAAGTTTGGCAGGTACTGGTTCTTGAAGGCGGAGTCGGTTACCACGATCAGGCCTTCATGATCATTGTGATGATCACCACCACCACCGCCTAGCTGGTAGGCAATGTTGGCGTAGCACTTGGTCAGCAGACTGGGCGCCCGCGCCACCTCCGGGTCGGCCACGCCCAGCGGACCTCTGTAATCATATAAAACGGCCTCATTCAGGTGGAAGCCATCAACGCCGGTGGATTCGGCAAAACGTTTCAGCCGATCGACGAACCACTCCGCCGCCGCCTGGTTGGAGAAGTCCACGTAGCTGCCCGCCCCGTCGGAGTAGTTGATCACCAGTGGAGAGGGTTTTGAAGTTGAAGATCGAAACTTTGCCAAAGAGGAGGAGGAAGAGCTGAAAGTGGAGTTCATTTCTTTCACAAAGAACTCCACCGCCTTTGGGTACTCCGGCGAGTCGGTGTGAATGTTCGGGTAGCTCCAGAGGGTGACCTGGTGGCCGGCGGAATGAAATTTTCGGATCATCCCCTTTGGATCGGGAAAGCGGGCGCCATCAAAGGCGAGATTGCCGTAGGTGCGCTCCCAGCGGCGGTGCAGCTCCAGCGTGGAGTCATTCGGAAAGCCGTATCGAGTGACCAGCTCCTCGGCGTACTTGAGGACGTTTTCCTGGTTGAAGGAGCTCTTCTGGTCACCATTAGAGCCATCGCCATCATTGAAAACATTCCACGTGGTCCAGATGGGAGATCGAAAGAACCGTTCAAAGGTGGGCACACCCACCGGCTTTGGAATCAACCCCAGCTGATTGGCCACAATCCCGTAGACGGCCTTGGCGCTTTTCCCCGCAAAGAGGCGGAACTTGAGGTCACCTCGATAGGCGGCCGCCTCCCCCGGGCTGCTGCTGTACGGATAGGAGTTGTTGACGCTGATGCAGAGCAGTGGGTCGCCAAAGTTAGGGTCCCGGCGGAGGAAGAGCGGCGCCGAGGAGTCGAGCATTAGCGCAAAGCCGTCCGAGTTGAGGAAGAGGTGTTCGAGGAGGAGGAGGGCCTCGTCCCGTCGCGAGTCGTAGTCAAAGTCGAGGAGGTAGTTGAAGTGGCGGCGAGGTGAGTGTCGACCGGTGTCCATTGGCCAGCGGGCGGCCAGCGATTGATAAGTGTTGTACCTTTTGGAAAAAAACAGAACATTAACGGATTGAAACTCTTTAAACTCCTCTTTCAACCCTTACCAACTGGCATTATTGTGCCCATAATGGAAACACACCTCCCGCCGGTCAGAGTCGCCCACCCAGTGGAAGGTGTACTCGGTGAGGAAGGGATTCTTTGGGTGCTCCTTTTTTGCAAAGTGCACCGCCGCCGGACCGGGACTGTTGTCGAGGATGAAGCGCCAGGAGGTGGGGCTGCGCTCCTCGACGCGGGTGATGACGTTCAGCGAGGAGCTCTGACCACTGCTTCCGGTGCTGAGCAGGCTGAACTTGAAGGAGGTTCGATTGCGGTGGTAGTTGGGTAGGACCACCGAGCGGCGGTTGAAAAGGACAAACTCCGTTCTTTTGGTGGCATTGTTGCTGACGATGTAGATGGCTGAAGAGGTGGTGATGAGGACTGATGATGTGATGATCATAAAGAGTGATGTAAGTAGATAGTTTGCCATGGTTGATTTAGGCAAAAAGTGTTTACTGTTTCTTTATCTTGAAGTGGATTTTCTTGTGCATTCCCTTTTTTCAGATCTACTGGGCAAAAGCTGGCGCTGAAGTTCCTTTATATTACAATCGTTTTGGAGTTGTGGGTTGATAGTGTGTGGCGCTTAACTGTGGTGATGAAGGAATGCTAATGAAGGAAGAACGAAGAAGACTGACACATTTTTGTATGCGATTATGATAATGAGGGTGATGGTGATAGTTGACGGAGAAAAGGTAACAAGTGTGTGTTTGTTCAAGAAAAAATGGCCGCCGCCGTACACACTTATTGTAAACAGTACAACTGTACAACTGTTGCGTTTTCTGCCATTTCATCAACTTGTCATCATCACCATCATCATTTCCGTCTACCGCAGACGTTGTTGATTATCATCATACGACGACGACGATGATAATGTGTCGACTCTGTCTAAGTTTGTGTAAAGTGTGTGTGCGTGCGTAATTGTGCGTCACTTTTGTTATCAACTGATGACTTGATTTTTACTACCAAAAAACTTTTGTTCAATGAACTAAATTTGCCACTGCAGCACTCCAAAGTGTGTTGAAAAGAGAGTGAAACTTGAGCATCTTTTTTCGAAGCAGTGAACCGCACTTCGTTTGCAGTTCAGTTGCAGTGAAACTGAATTTATTCAAACGAGTTTTCTGGCTGTTCAGTGTCAAAAAAGAGACAAAAAAGGACTTTGGCAGTAAACGTAATTTTGTTGTTGTTGCTATGTGAAGAGGGAAAAAGAAAAAGAAGAAAAAACAAAAGTAAAGAATGAACATTAGTGGCACATTCCACTGCGATTGTTTCAGCTATGACGGGGCACATAATTTCCCAGACACACCATGTGCTTTCTTTATCTGCCGTTGGTCTTTCCACCTTGGCCGGTCCGATCTGCCTTTTTTTCCTTTCTGATCTAGTCAGATCTGCCTTTCTGACTGCCACTGTACAACTGCTGTACAATTTTTACTACTACTAATAATCCAAACAAGTCTGCCGATGTTTGTTGTCTTTACTATCGCCCCCCGAATAATAAGTTCTCAACCAAGGCAACACTTGATCAGTCATGTTTGTTTGCTTGACAGATGATGTTTGTTGCTATTGCTGCTGGTTCTAAGGTCGTACTTGCAGAAAGTGAGAGTGAGTTATCAGGAAAACACATGTGAAGAAAGTGTCATGTCCCAAAAGAGGATCAGCGGGGATCGCTGTCAACTAGCTCACACTTATCACCACCGGAGCTTATCAGTGAGATAGAAGGCTGAAAGAAAGCGTCACTGAATGAATGGAAACTTTTGTCATTGCAGCGACGTCGACTTCAGTGGTCATGGTTTCAGAGTGCGGGGAACTTTTGCGCTTTTCGATTGCAGTCTAATCTACTTCTTCGCCAATCTGAATGTGAATAGAAGTTCTACACGTAGTGAAAAACTGATTTAGGTGAACCGGAAGCCACTGATTAAAAGAAACTGCAGTAAAAGAATGTTTGATTTTAACAGTT